TTAACCTTCTGGGGAAGTGAAAAACAGGAGAGGCGTCTTAACTATAATCAAGGGCCCAGAGATGAACTTACCTGGCCCATTGCTGCTGGGGTAGAAGCCAATAAAGGCATGAGCTACAGGGCATTCACCACAACAGACACTGTCTGAAGTTCCATAGTTATACAGAAGGGACTTTTTTCTTTTTTTCCCCATTAACTTTATTGGTACATTTTAGGTATAAAATACAGTTACATTCATCATTGGGATCTTGTACCATTACATGAGTCTCTTGGTTCTCATTTTTTTTCCCCTTCCCTTGCCCTCCCTTCACCCCCTCCACCCTTCCCTATTTGCAAAGACCTTGTTTCCATTTTTTTCCTCTTCTCATATTTTTTCCTTTCCCTTTTTTCCCTTCCCCTACCCCTTCCAATTACCCTGCTCTTTTAGACCTTTTCTTCCTGTTACACAGTATCAGTTATACATTTTTAAAATTACAATATTAAGATCTAGGAGACATTACCACAGATTTTACAGAATTTAAAAGGATATAGAAAGCATATTACAAAAATCTTTTTTGAAATAAATTTGACAACTATACAGAAGGGACTTTAAATCAAGATGTTCGAGGAATTTCTAGTTCCTGAGGTTACTTTGACTATTTCTTGATTCTTGGCCCCTTGGGGTTGGTAGGGTCTGAGAAAACATGCTGTTCATTTATAAATAAGAAATAGAGGAAATTTTCCCTCTTTTCTACTAGGAACTTCACCACATTAGGCTGCACATATTTTCTTTCCTCTATGATTTCTCTCTATACTGCTTCCATTACCATAGGCTTTCTGTGATCTGCTCTTAAAGAGTGCTCATGTCCTGTATAGGTATTTCATCTGTTGCTACTCCTGCTCCAATTCAAAAAGCAACTAAAATCTGCCATTGGTGCCCAGAGCAGTTCAAACTCTTTCTCTTAACTGGCCCTTTGCATGCCTACAATAAACTTTCTTCCCTCTCCTCTCCCTCCCACTCCAAACTCCCCCATCCCATTCCTTTGGAATGTGAGAACTGATTTCCTGGCAGGGTGTGCACTTTATCTAGCTAATAAATAAAGTGCAGTCTCTAAGCACCTTCTACATTTCTTTACTTCAATATGTCCCCAACAAACAACATATATTCTAAGCCTTTGGACTTTAGCTTTTAACTCTACATGCCAACTCTAAGCAGGTTTTAAATCTATTATCTACCTAAAATAAGCTTCCTGTATTAGGGGAAAAAAATCTATCATCACCAATAGTCTCACTTCCTCAACCATATGCATTTAGGGGTGAAGAAGCCCGAGGTAGAGGGAATCTAATATATGTAAGAACAAAACCATCTACTGGAAGGAGAAGAGGGGAGAAAGGAATACATTTTTATTTTTACTAAGGTTCTTATTTCTCTATCAGCCTCTAGCTAATTTCATCTTCCACTCCCAGTTCCCCTTCAGGAGCCACAGGAAAGATGTGCTGCTGGACCCAGTTACTTCTCCAGTCTGGTCATGAACACTTCATTTATACCCTGACTTCATCCTCACCCACCTTTTCTAGGCCAAACTTGCTCATATGTCTGTACTTTGTGTCACTTAGGCTGATGGAGTGGGACAGATACTGCTATGGTTTTGATATGGTTTGAATGTGTTCTCCAAGACTTTCATATGTTGAAACTTGATCCCCACTGAAAAGTATTAAATGGGTAGAAATTTAACCCAGGTACGGTGTTTAGAGATGGAATTTCCAGGAGGTGATTAGTATTAGGAAGGTCACTGGGGTGGAGCCTCCACGAATGAATCCCATGGCTTTATAAGAAGAGGAAGAGAGACCTGAAGACACACAGACAAACGTGTCTTTTATCTGTTGCCATGTGACAGACTGCACTGCCTTAGGACTCTGCCACAAGAAAGGCATCATCAAATGAATTCTCTCAACCTTGCATCTCTAGAGTTGCTGTCATATCAAACTTTCTTTATAAAGTTAGTTGTCATAGGTATTTCACATAATAACACAAACAGACTAAGAAAAATCAGCAATGAGGATGGAATCATTAACTATGTGGAAAATACAGAGGTTTGGGCACTGGCTTTACAAAGATTGGAAATCTGGAAGAGGAGGCTAGAAAAAGCCTAGAATGCTATATAATAAGTATATAATAAATGTATAATAAATATATACATATATATAAAGTGGAACATATATATGTATGTATATATATATATAAAGTGGAATATTAATCAGCCAGTACAAATGAAATTCTGATGTTGGCAATCAACACAGATGAACCCGGAGAACATAATTATAAGTGAAATATCCAGGAACAAAAAGACTAATACTGAATAATCTACTCATAAGCAAAATATAAATGTTGATCTCATAGAAGGAGAGGTAGGATGGTGGTTTTTAGAGGCTTGGGTATTTGTGGGGAGGGTCTGAAGATGTTAATTAAAGGACAAATAATTGTAGCTAGATAAGCAGAGGGAGAAGAGAAAGTCCAGAATATACAAATATATCATGAAGGAAAACAGATAAGTAATGGGGTGGGAAGTTGTAAGTGAGAAAGGAGGGAAAAACTAGGAACGTCTTCTAATGGCTATAGTGTACCTTTCTTGGGTAATGAAAATGTTCTAAAGTTCACTGTGGTGATGGTCACACAACTCTGTGAACATACTACTAAAAATCATTAGATTTTTAAAAAAGAAAAGCAGGGCCTGGGATTTAGCTCAGTGGTTCTGCTGCCTGCCTTGCAAGTGCAAGGTCCTGAGTTTGATCCCTGGTACCAAAAAAAAAAAAAAGAAAAAGAAAAAAAGAAAAGAAGAGTAGCTAGCAAAATTCTAAAAGAGCTTTAATTCTTTCTGAAGCTGAAGACTGTATACCAAAACTTTAGACAACAGTAAGGTTTAGTATGCACACCTCAGTGGTTTTCTTTAATTTATACACTGGTATAATCTTTTTCTATCTTCAACAGTCAAAACAAAACAGTCTTGTAAAAGAACAAGGGTGGAGGCATCATCCTTTTTGCTGAACTATACTACAAGGGTATAGTAATCAAAACAGTATGATACTGGTATTTAAAAAGTACAGTGGGATGGAAATGAGAACCTAGACTCATGCACAAAAACTCAATATTTGACATGGGTGGTAAGAATGAACAATGAGGAAAGAATACTCTTTGATAAGCGATGGTGGGGAAACTGGATATCCACACACAAAAGAACACAACTAGATTTTTACCTTATACTATATTGAAAAGCTAACTCAAAATGGACTAAAGACTTAAACGTAAGACCTGAAAGCAGTAAACTCCTGGAAGAAAACAGATGGAAAATCTTCTTGATATTGTACTTATTTTTTTAAATTTTATGAAAAACTAAAACATAACAAAAGAAAATAAGAATAGTTAATACACTGTGTATCATTATCTTCAAAGTAGTTAGACAAGACATAAATCAAAAGGATTCTTATAAAAAAACAAATAATAACACAAAACTTTCTTTTCAATGAACTGAGATAAACTGGTAGTATAAATAAACAAATTAGCATATACTATGTTGAAATATTTTTGAAACAAGAGAATATGTAATTTGGGGAAGTACTTGGACTTCTCCTTCTGTTTATGGCTCTTTGTGTGTTTCTCATATAAGAGAAACCATGTGATATTTGAGCTTGTGTGTCTGACTTACTTAACATCATGTTTTGAAGCAGCTATCCCTCTTCTAGGTATGTTCCCAAAAGAGTAAAAAATCATTTTGCAGGGATACATGCACACCCATGTTTACAGCAGCACAACTGTAACAGTCAGATCTTGGACACAGTACATATGTCCATCAACAGATGAATGAATGAATGAATGAATAAGGACAATGTAGTATTTATACACAATGGAGTACTATACTGCTGTAAAGAAAGATAAAGTTGACATTGCTCTTGATAATGTGTTTTTAGGAAAGGACACCAAAAGAACAAACAACAAAAGCAAAAATAAACGAGGACTGTATCAAATTAAATAGCTTCTGCACAGCAAGGAAACAATCAACAAAATAAAAAACCTGCAAAATGGGAGAAAATACTTGCAAACCATACATTGGATAAAAGGTTAATATCCAAAATATGTAAAGTCATACAACTTAATATCAAAACAGCAACTAATTTTAAAAGGGTCAAAAGACCTAAAAAGAGATTTTTTCAAAGACACAAATGGGCATACGAAAATGTGCTCAACATAACTGATCACCAGTACAGTACTAATCAAAACCATAATGAGATGTCACTTTACCCATGTTAAGATGGTCATTATGAAAAGGACACTTTTCTAACATAGAATATTATACTTTACAGACGAACTTTCAAACATTATTCCCAAGGCTTCAGGGATTCCATCACACTCTTAGATTGCTTAGCAAATACTGTGCCATTAGACTATTTATCATAAGGTAGTATTTTATTTCTTTTCAAAACATATAACTGAATTAAAGAAGTATCATTTTCATATCTTACATTTATGTTTCCTATGTTTTTAATTTTTAAATTAAATCTACAGCATAAAATGTTCTTGAAAGATTAAAAATAATCCAAGTACAATTTGGCACAGGTTGATCATTTACAACTGTTTTTCAATTCTAAATATCACTAAACATATATAATAAATAAATCAGATAATAGTTTTATATAATAATTATTTTTTATAATGACTCATCAAGCAAAAAAATACATTAGAAATTCCTTTGTAAGTCAAATGCCTTAAAAGAAAAATAGATCAATAATTTTTAACCCAACAATGTTTCACATTCATCCTGGACTTAACTGTGATATACAAAAAAATACATCAGGGGAGGACGGATTTAACTCTTTAACTATTCTGTTAAATCACACAAAAGAATAATACTGTATTTAATAAAAAAAAGATATGTCTTTTGTGAGTAAATGTTTTTTAAAGACATTTACTTTCTCAGACAAGCATTATATTTAATGAATGTAAGATTTTGTAGTCTACAATTTAATTCCACATATTTTTCTTTTTTCAACATTTAAAAATGTTTGATGTAAATAATGATTACATTCTTCATGGGGACCAATAGATTATATAACACATCTTCTTTCTCTTTCATCTCCATTCCCTCCTCTTTCTTATTTTCATCCCTAGCTCTTGTAACTCAGAAAAAAGGTAAGAAAACCTAGTGCATCTTACTGTACTCTTGTTTCTAAGTTAGAAAAACTAATATTCCAGAGAAATTTTTCATTTAAGGAACTGGGGCTTGAGAAATCCCTTCAAATATGGGGTGTTGTCCCAACAATTTACACAGGGTAATTTAGATACATATTATACATGTAATAGAAGCTTTGGTCCCTAAATTCTACTCGAGGATAAGTTACAGTATTTAAGTGATTTTTTTAAATCATGTTTTTTCATGAGAACAAAAGACAAATCAACAAGCAATATAGTGCTTTTACTTGATGGAGAAAAGGGGAAAAACTCAACCTCTTGTCAAACCATGCCCAAAAGATAACTTATGTAAGACTTTACAAAAATGAGCACAAGGATCTCCAATGAAGTAGACAGTGATTTAGGAGTCTCTCTTGGATGTGGCGAGGATGCCCGGGTTATTGCAGAAGAGAAGGGATGACTCATCAGTGGCTTTTACGGTTAACTCGAGAAGTTCAGGAGGCTGTAGCTCAGTGAGAGAGTGACAGCTTCCAAAGAGGCCCTGGTGCAAAAGGAGAACAGAAGGAAGAAAAGGAGATCCCACAGAAATGTTGGTTAGCAAGATGCAAGCCCCTGTTCCATATATTTCCTATAATCTGAAGTGACTCTATGACTTTTCTATTGCAATGTTTATTTTAAAAAGTAGATTTCACCTTTATAAAATTGATTACCACAGCCAGGCATGGTGGCATATATCTGTAACTCCACGACTCTGGGGGACGCTGGGGCAGGAAAATCCCAAACAAACACCTGTCTCGATATAAAAAATTTCAAAAAGGGATGGGGATGTAGTTTCAGGGAAAAGGCCCTGGGTTCAATCCCCAGTCCTGCCCTCCCCCCAAAAAGAATGAATAAATAATTAAAACTGATTACCTTAAAAAATGAACTGCCAAGAATTTTTTGTGTTTCAGAAAAGGTATTTTATTTTACATAAGTCAAAACATTATAACAAATACCCTCTCTTTTCTTGAGTTTACATAAATTTGTATAAAGCCACTAGAAAAAGAAATACATTTATTATAATAAACATAATGACCTAATTTTTGGTAGACAGTCATTGTTAATAAAACTGATACACAAAGGGAAACTACTTAAAATCAGCCCTTTGAAAAACAGAACATTAAGGTGATTTTTCAATAGGTCATATAACAGTCAGTTGATAAAAATGTTTAAGCTTTCTTCTTCTATCACTGCTAACCCTACCTACATCAAAACCATTTTCACGACCGTAATTCACCTCGCTCATATTCTACTCTTAAGTGTTAGTGATATCTCTGCCTTTTTATCCTACTAAAAATATAACTGGCTGCCATCTTTACTCCTCTTGTGAGACATGCACTGTTCTGCCTATAGACTTTCTAAATTGAATGTAAGCTCAGAGCCTTATCTTCAGTATGCTTAATAATAAGCTCTAATCTTGTATATTCAGTTGCCATTCCATCCTGCTAACATGCCAATTCCACCTCTACAGTAGGCTTAGACTCCACTGTCAGTATAACTAATTCACACTTTACAGACCAATCACATGATTATATATGTACTGGCATCTCATTAATCCCTTCCTTAAATCTAATACTCATCTATTCTCATCTAGAAAAAATTTTAATAGCGGTTGCTGAATAGATGGAAAGGACAGATCTAAATGAAGAAAAGCAAAAGTACAGAACAAAAGGAATGGCATCAAGTGTAGAATTCTTAAAATTCTGATTATTAATTTTACAATACTAGAGGATTTAAAAAGGTAAAGCAAATAACAGCATGTATACTATAAATTTTCCCCCCAAAATACTTATATTTTCCCCAAATTGAAACAAGAGTTATATAAGTAATTCTGACATGTATAGGACTACTTTTGGGCATGTTTTGGCTTTAAAAGTACCATGAATTTAAAAAACAAACAAACCAGTAAACAGTCAGAATAAAGTCTTATTAAAGCTATCTTTCTAAAGTAAGATAAAGTGGTAGAGCTGAAATTGAGGCTCAGGAAATAATATCCCAGAGTATGATGCTTTGGCATACGGAATGCAATGCACTTAAGGAGCACTAAGGTGTCTCTGACCTTCTCCCACCCTCTTATCTCTTTCCCTTTTGAATTGCAGGAAGGGGTTGTCTCTAAACATCTCATGTCTACATAAAGGCTGGATCCTCTAGAATATTAACGAGCAGAAAAGACTAGAACTGACACCTTAACTAGATACCAGGTACACTTTGTCCAGGCTATTGTCTATTCTTTAAATCCATTCATCTCTCCTGAAAACCATTTACTCTTTTTCTAAAATTGCCTGCAGCATTCACTTCTTTCTCCCTACAAAGAGGATATGTAAGCTTCCATCATTTATCTGGCCCTTCTTTGGACTCTGATGCTTTGTGTGACTCCCACGTGCTTGCATCTAAATAAATTTGTCTGACTTTTCTCCTGCTTACTAAATGTTTGTTTAAAGGGGGGGGGGTCGTCCATAAAGATGCTGTTAAGGTCTCTTGTTGCTTTGCTACCTTCTGCAATGCCCCCCTACCTTGGAGCCAGCTGATTCTGAACTGAAATTTCTACAAACTATGAGCTAAATAAACCTTTCCTCCTTTAACTTTGGGTGTCAAAGTAACTAAGACAACACATTTATCTTGTTATAGGATATTCCTTAAGATTAATGAGAACAATTAGATAAATCAAGGAATTCAATATGACAAGGCAATATCAATATTTCACTTAGATGTACAAAGAGCTAAACTAAACATTTTAATTAAAAATATGATGAGACTATAAATACAATCCTACTAACTTCAGCAAGGTCCTTCCCATAGTACACTAAAAGTATGTGTACCTAAAAACACTACAGTCAGAAATTTGTAAGAAAAAAATAACATGGCAGTGACTCACTTGGCATCTGCATTTGTAAACAGCAGGCAAAGAAAATGATCTCTACAGCTACTTCATAGCCTTAGAATGGACAGCAAGTGCAAACTCCTGAACTAATCTCAAAAGCTAGTGTGGGAAAGCAAGTGTACTCCAAGAAGCTACTTTGCTGAAGTATTCATTCCAGCTACTGGGAAATTTACCTAATAATGAAATAGCTTAGTTTAAAAGAAGCTACATCTGCTTAAAATCAAGACAAAGGTATCCTATGTGATAAAGAGAAAATGTTCAGGAGCTCATTCTTTTGTAAAATTAAAAAAAAAAAAAGATCAACCATGTCCCACCCAAACCAGTATCAATTATCAGTAAACCCCTCCCCCTCACTTTGACTCTTACACCTGTACTTCTCATTTCCCTTTAGCTATCCATATTGGACAATACTTTTGAGAAAAGAGGCTTTTCAATTTATGTATTCTTAGTAACTTGCACCAAGTAGCCCGACCTAGCTTAACAAACACTGGATACTGAATCTCTAGTCACTGCCCTCACAAACATCTACTTAACATTCCAGTAAGAAAGGGCAATCAGATGTTCCTCACACCTAGGATTTACTGGGCATCCCTCAATTACAAGCACCTCTCCATGTATTCAAGTCTTTTTTTTTTTTTTTTTTTTTTTGGTGGTGGTGGTCCTGGAGATTGAACACTGAGCTACATCTCCAACCCTTTTCTACATTTTTTTTTTTTAATAGTGAGTCCGGTTACCACTAAGTTGTTAAAATTCCCAGACAGGGCTAAAAACTTGCAATCCTCCTGCATCAGCCTCCCAGAATGCTGAGACTACAGGCACATGCCACCAGGCCTGGCTTCAAGTTACTCCTGATGTAAAATATCAGCTAGAATATTTAATAAAGCATTACTAATATCAGAGTCTAATGAGATGCAACAATGAGTCTACCTGACTAAGGCAGAGCTCCCTTGGAGCAAAGAGCAAGTTACTCATCTTCATTCATCCGTATCACTAGACACATGCCTAGAGACTTTACAGGTTCTTTATAAAACACAAAATAGTATTTAAGAGTCTTCCCAGAATATTTTTTTTCCCAGAATATTTAGTTATGTCTTTCTCATGTAAATAACGTATTTCTTTGTACTGTAGTTCTATCCTACTAGACTGACAGTACCTTGAAATAAGAAGTAGATCTTATAAATAGATCAAAATTTAAATTTTACTATTTCAGAGACCAAAGAGATGATCAGCTATACTCTCATAACTTTATCACAAGAATTATATATTAAATTTTCAAGTTTTTTGGTATTTATATTTTATAAGTGTATAATCATAGATTACATGTAACATAGCCAGAATTTTTATGCATTTTTAATATTATTATATGATTTGCTTATTTATTTTTATTGGATATTGAACAATCCAATGAATGGATTAACCACAACTTATTTAGCCATTTCTCTTCACATAACATTGCTCACTTCCACATTTTCATCATTTCAGGTCACAGTACATATTTTAAAACCATTTTTCATAAACTAAAGCTCCTTGTGTTAAATTACTGAATTGTGAGCAAACATTTTTAAAGCTACAGAAGCACAGTGCCAACCTGCTTTTGATTTAGTTTTATTTTTCAGTCTTATAGTAACAATAGAAGTTTCCAGAGCACTATGCATGATTCCTTATTTCAACCACAGTTCTTAGATTACCAGCAAGGTTGACTCTTTTTTACATGCCTATTTATTCATCATATTTTGTATCTGTGAACTCTATTTGTGTACTATGTCCATTTACTTATCACAGTCATCATGGTTTTCTTACTAGTTTGCTATCCTTTGCCGTTTCAGAATACATTTTTCCAGTTTATTATTTGCCTCTTTTGAGGTATCACATCCTCTTATGTCCCAATAAAAGTTTTAGCACTTTAGTATATAATTTCATGTACTCCAATATTTGTTTCCTTTAAAATTTCTTCTAACATTTTAGAATTCACCTTCCAAGTCTATTTTCTCCTACTTCTAATATTTAACCATTTAATCTATAAGCAAGGAATATGTCACTTCTGCATATTCCACAAAACATATTACAGTACTTTTTACATGCTAAGTATTCAATAAATGATTCTCAAGTAAATATTCTTTATTAAAAGACGAAATTTAAATAATACTAGCCATCATTTAAATCTTACTAGTCTCTTTACAAGATACCAAATTAGATACAAAAGTAAAATACATTCTAAATGAATGATAAGGCAATGCTGCAAATTAGGTTTGTTTCTTCCTATTGTGGGAATATAAACCACTTTAAGAAAATGTATGTGTGTGTGTGTGTGTGTGTGTGTGTTTTAGCAAGGAACATTTCAATGTCTATGGTTAAGTCACACAAATTCTATTTCATATATACATACATACACACACACATGCATATATAAAATCTGCAGAGTAACAAACTAGGTGATGATGTATTACTAATTTTTCTAAAGTACAGTCCTCAGATCACTGTTACAGTGTTCTATAACTGGAGTAAAGAACTACAACCACATATCATCATTTACACAGCTGTGTAATTCAAACACCCAACCACTTTTACGACCTCTTGGTAGTTTTTTAGTCAGTCATGTATATACATATTTCTAAATTTAA